GCTCGGGAATGAATAGATTGAGGTTCAAAAAAACCGAACACAACGAGAATTCACAGTTTTGGACCGAAACTGAGAATTAGGCCCTTGACTGAGTAATTTGCACGGTTTTAGTGCAAATCCTTGAGATATGAAATGGTTTGAGGTTGAATACCAAACATAAGGATTGTAGACCTTTCTGAAGTAAATTTCAATGTAATTATTGATCTTAGATTCTGAATCTAACGATCGAAAAATTTATGCAATAGGGCCGATTAACGGTTGAAGTCGGAAAGCGTCAAGGGAGATGATAAGTGCATGAAAATGCACCCTAAATATTGCTTTTGACTTACATAACATTAAAATATTTAAGCTTTAATTAAACAATTCCATTATTTTATTCATAATATTTTTAATTGGAATTTGTCTAGTTTTTACTTAATTATTTACAGATGAAAAGCAGTGTAAAACTCTACACAAGAAGAAGCCATGAAAGCCATGTTCAGTGAGTCAAAATTAAGCCACACGAGCCAAGAGCCGCGTCAGCCCAGTGAGCCATCAAGCAGAGCCACCGCGTGGTGCCCAGCTCTCTCCCACGTTCCCCACTCCATCTCTCGCGCGTCACCAGCACGCCGGCCTGCCAAGGGCGCGTTCTTCTTCCGTGCGGTCTCCAGCGCGTCTGAATCTCCCACCGTGTGGACCCCGCGCCTGCTCACGCCAGGCTGCTCTCCCCTCTGCGCATGCCACTTGTCAAAAGCGGGTCCCAGCTGTCTCCAATGCCAGCGCCCTTCCTCCTCTCCCGCGCGACACGTGGTGGCCTTATTCCTCACTGCCAATCAAGCTTCAACACGTGTCCCTCCTGTGTTGGATCCGAATTCCTTCCCCAAAAAAATCAAAGGAAATTACCAGATTTCTTCCCCAAATCAAATATATGATTTCTCCTAATTTATGTGTAATTTTATTTTGTTTCCCTTTCTTTTGTAATTTTCTATTTTTATTGTTTGTTTCCTTATTTGACAGGCAACCTCTGAACACTATAAATAGAGGGGTTAGCCTAAGGTTTTGAGGAGCTTTGAATATTCAATGTTTTGCAAGATAGGCTAGAGTTTTCTTGGTGAGGTTAGAGATGAACTTCTGTTGAGTGACCCAATTCGGGGTTTTGATTCCTTGTTCTGTAAACTTCAACATCTGAATAAATTAAATCTCATCTATTTTTCTATTACTTTTTAAAATATTGTGTGCCAATTTTTATATAAGTTCAGTCACGCTTTTCTTATGTAAGTATGTCACGCATTGTTTTGTTATTCAAATTATTTTACAAATTGTCTTTTACTGCAATATTGTCAGATTGATATATTGTCGATTTTAGATAATTTGTAATAATAATATTTTCTGAGCCAACATAGAGATTTAATTTATTCGATTATTTTATTTTGTGAATCAAAACTTGAATTGGTGAACGAAGCATTAGGGATTCTCGACACCTTACCATTTTCTTCATACAAATTCCCTCCTTTCTATTTTATTTGCAACAAAATCTCAAAAACTATTCTTTTTCTTTAATTCACTTTTCTCTAATGCTCTTATTCTGTTAGTCTTTCTTGTTATTTTGTTATCTCTCTGTGGATACGACCGTCCTTCTGTGCTACAATTGACCGCTTGTGAATATCACTTTTGGGCGTTAATCAGGAGACAAATGACGCGTTGTTAGCGAAACTTCGGTAAGTACAATAGTTTTTCTATGGCTATATCACGAACAAGCTTACTTTTTTATGTTGCACAAAAATTGTGCATATAGTAGAATTTTGAATGTTAGATACAATGTGAATGTTAGATACTAAGTTAAGTATATATCTACAAAACTTATGTAATCGTAGAACTTTATTCTGCAAAAAGTATGTATCGATGTTAAGTCGAGATCAAACTAAGAGAAATAAAAAGTTAAACTTTAGCGAAAAGTTAATCTCATGATAAAATGCTCAATAATGCACAAATTCATAAGATTTAACTAAAGTTACCGTTTCAATGAGAAAATTGATAAACGGTAAGAGATTAAATGTCCTGTTTGTACCAACCTTCGAAGGAAAGGTTATTATGAGACTATGAAATATATGATACCGTGACTGAGTTGGATTGGTTAGCTACCCCACTCCTCACTGGTTATGCGCGCTATGGTACAACAGGACAGGGCCCATAAGAAGTAAGAAACAAGAAAATGAAAAACAGAAACCGTTCCATATAAAGGTACGATATCTGTAAAGAAGAATGAAAAGAATGAGAAACACGAAATGAAAGTCGTTCAAAATGTGAAAACACAATATGAATGACTAAAATGAGACGAAAGCATAACAAAGAATGTAATGAAAGAAGAACATAAGCCATACATGTTTTAGTAGTACGGAATGTATTATGATATATGACATGAATGCATATATGGGTATGCATAATTTAATTATTGTATCTGTTTATGACCTATTGATACTTGCTGAGCAAAAGCTCATTAAGTTTGTTCGTGTTGTAGGAAGCTCGGGTAAGACACCGGCTCCCTGAAACTTGTTGATGGGCATGCAGAGAGGATGCAACAGTGGAATGTGGGCAAGTGGGTTGTAGATGTATCACGTGTTTTGGAAACGTTGTTGTATTTTATGTGTAAAATAGAATAGTGTTTTATGTATTTTGATGACTAATGTAACAGAATGCTGTCATAATGCTACAGCATTTTACGAAAGGATGAAAGTAGAATGCTAGCTAAATGCTACAGCATTTTAACGTACATGATAAAGAAAAAATGGCCTGAGTTTTTAAGAGGTTATAACTAGTAAGTGTTAGAGGTTAAGTAATGTTAAGTGTGAGTATAGGATGACGATCAAAAATTAAAATCGTCATATATAATTACATAAAAAACTGTTTATTCTGCATATTTTTTAAAATAATTTAATTTTAATCAGATTTAATAATTAAAAAACTAATCATACTGATAAAATAGTCTACCAGAAAAACTCTCTTTGTAAATATTGTAAGTTGTAAATAATGTTTTACAAGGTTCAAATTTAATTAATTGTGTAATGAGAGGGATAACACATGCTGAATATATATTTTTTTGTTTCTCTTTTTTTTCTAGAAGCTTTTTTTTTCTTTTTCTTTTTCGCTTTCTTTTTTTCTTCCCTTTTCCTTATCTCTTCAAAGTGTTGAAATTCTTTTAGAAATAATTTGCTGACAGTCACCAAGAACGATAAAAAAAAATAACAACACACGTGGGTCCGTTAATTTCACTAATTCGAGTTGAGATGTGATTTTATGTGAGAGCTTTTTTACTATAGTAAAAAAGTTAGATGTGACTGTTTCTGAGAACTTTTTACTGTAACAAAACTCAAATTTTAAACTTAAATCGGTGAAGTGAACGGGACCACAATAAATACGTCCATGTAATTGAAATAGTTGATGCACCCCACATATATGGGAAAGGTGAGCATATGATTAAAACAAGTTAATTAATAGTTGCCTTAGAAAAAAGTTAATTAATAGTTGGGCGTAGCAGATATACGTGTGTATATGTCGTTGCATATTAATGATCAATTTGAAGTGATAACTGAATAAAGCAAGTTAATTAGGGGTTGTTCTTTTTCAACAAAACTCAAAAAAAGTTAAAACTCAAGTTATAATTTTATTTAAGTTCACGTTTTTTTAAGTTCTAACTTTATTTAACTTTATTTAACTTTATTCAAGTTACAACTTTAACTCAAGTTATAACTCAAATTCAACTCAAAAACTACACTCAAGTCACACTCTAAAAAAACAGGCCCTTAGTGTTTATTTACACAACTCAAGTCATGACTTGAGTTGTGTGTGAGAAAAAAATACTTTAATAAAAAAATTAAATTTAAATTTATATAAAAAAATATTGTAATAATATAATTTAAATCATAATTTAAATTGTGTAAATGAACCCACCCTTAATAGCTTGGCTAAGTTAGAAGTGACATGCAAAACCAATTAAACACGTATGATTTATTCCCAGTCAGTCACTTTTGACTTATATGTTTTCAAACCCTTGGGGTAAATCTTCATCATCAAATTTCATCAAAACAGCCACTATTAAGCGGATGGATAGTCCAGCCGTTAAGGGAATTAACCAGCTATTGCCTATTGGTGGGGAGTGTGGACTTACAGAATTTGTTACGCTTAACTTAAAAGAGTAGTTATATTTGCACTTATAAATTTTATAGATACGTTCCCTCAGTAATTAATACCTCTACAATAAATATGAGAAAAATCTATCTCTCTATAGACACTTTTTTTTAATAATACCTACTTTACCCTCTCATTACACCCACTCTAATTGATATTGATTTGATTCTTTTATACTATTAATTTTATGTTTCCATTTTAAGATTATTGTAGCATCATTCTCTCTCTTTTTAATTATTATTCATCAATCCTCTTACTTTTATTGCATTAAAAAAAATACAGCTCTATATGCTTCTATAAAAATAAAAATAAAAATGTCTGGCTACATATCTATATATGCTTATTAACCTGGCATTTTTTCTCACAATATACTTGTTATTTCTCTTTTATAATTAAAGGTTGAACGTATTGGCATAATCTATTAGCAAAGTTATCCCCAGTGTGTATTGTGTATGTTAGTTTCGTTATGGTATAACATATAATCCATCAATAATATGATTTGAAGGAGAAAAAGGAAACTTATTGGAAATTTTTTCAGTGTTCTCTCTATTTAAAATCATGTTTTTTACTTTTTTTAATCGTTAAATTTAATTAAAATTACATTAAATTATAAAAATATACAGAAAAAATAGATTTTAATACTAAAAAAACAGGTGTTTCTAAAAAAAAAAAAGAACATCCGAAAAAATCCATGCAATTAGGCTATAAACAGAAAATTAAAATATACAGCAAAGCTCCCGTCGGTAGAGGGGCCTACTTTATTGTCATCGCTAGTGTTGCCTGTTCATAACGTGGTTGTTGAAGGCTTTATTGACCATATCTTTAATAATGGCAATGACCCTTGATTCTCGTAGTGCAACTGACCATCTTTCGAGGAAATTGTCGAGAAGTTGGAATGAAAGCATTTTGGAAATTACGAAGCAACTCAAAGCCCACCTTGCCTCTGATACAATTGATATACATGGTGGTTTTAAGTATTTACTCTTTTACTGATCATAAGAACTGACCAGCATGTGATCATCGCTCCAAAGAAAAAAAAAAAAAAAAAAAAAAAAGAAAAAGAAGTGTTCCGTTTTTCCTTCTTAAATTAGATTCTTTCTCAGTCCGATAGAGTAGACATGGCTTCTTCTTCTCGGAGAAAATACGATGTTTTTATCAGTTTTAGAGGCGAGGACACCCGGTATAATTTTCTGAGCCATCTTCATAAAGCATTATTGCAGAAAAGGATAGAAACCTATGTGGACGAGAGACTCGAGAGAGGAGATGAAATTTCACGGGCTCTTTTGAAAGCAATCGAAGAGTCGGAAGTTTCTGTAATCATTTTCTCGGAAAATTACGCTTCTTCCTCGTGGTGTCTAGATGAGCTCGTGCATATCATGTTCGGATGCAAGGAAAAGAATGTTGTTGTACCGATATTTTATCATGTAACTCCGTCTGATGTGCGGAAACAATCAGGGAGATTTGGAGATGCATTTGCTGAACTTGTGAAGCGTTCCAAGGACAAAGAAAAGCTATGGAGGACTGCTTTGACAAAGGCTGCTAATCTCTGTGGCTGGGATGCACAAATCAGCAGGTACCTAAGCCTCTCACTTTAATTATTAATGTCTGCGGTAATAATTAGAAGCATGCCAGAGGAAGAACAAATCCCAGTATCTTTGGTTTTTTTTGTTTTTTTGTTTTTTTACTTTTTTTCAAAAAAAAAAAAGAAGGAAAAATATCATTAAAAATTCTATGTTAACTACTGGAAGAATAATCCAACCGCAGGGTTCTGTTTTATGTACCTCGTTTTGATTGATTTTGATCAAATTTAATGTTTTGAAATATACACTATTGATAAGGAGTACCCACAGTAAAAAGCTCCAAATATCATTCCAATGCTATGTAATTTAGCAGTAGGAGTACCTACGGAGGTTTTGACGGATCTGAATCTCTCTCTCTCTCTCTCTCTCTCTCTCTTTTCCAACCTAGTACTCTCAGTCTCATACAGCGTGCTTGGCCCAAATAATAAACATATTGATTAAAATATTCCATTAAAGAATAAATGACATTAACTTGGTAGAAAATTTAGTAACTATTTGAGAAGCATTACCAATATTGTTTTCTGTATATTTTACTAATTCTTTTTAACTACTATGCATTTTCGGGTAAATTATTGCGATATTGATTAAAAAAAAAAGTCCTAAGCTTTGCCTAGAGAATAATAGATGTTAACTGGATTAGTAAATTAAATTTCATGAACACTGAAATCATAATTATTAGCACATACTTTTATTTAATATCACTACCTTTTTTTTTACTACCATCTGTGTTCATATACTTTAGGTCTGAGTCTAAATTAGTGGAGAAAATCATCGAGAATATTTCAGAAAAACTAAGGTCGTCAAGGCTAGATTATCATGTCAAAGGCCTAGTTGGAGTTGAGAAGCGCGTTGACCGTGTCAAGTCATTGTTGATGATGAGGTCATTGTTGATTAACTCATCATCGGATGTTCGCATCGTGGGTATATGGGGCATGGGCGGTTTGGGTAAAACTACCCTAGTTGATATCATTTTCAGTCAATTTCATTCTCAATTTGAAGGCTACTGCTTTCTGAAAAATGTGAGGGAAGAATGGCAAAAACAAGGCTCAATTTATTTGCAGAACAAACTTTTTAGTGAGCTATTAATGGAGGAAAAAGGTTTACGCGTAATCAACAACTTTGCAAGGGAAAGGCTTCACCGCAAGAGAGTACTTATTATTCTTGACGATGTCGATGACCCGGAGTACTTTGAATATCTAGTCGGAGGACGTGATTGGTTATGTCCTGGAAGTAGAATTATTGTAACAACTAGAAATAGACAAGTGCTCACTAACATTGGTGTTGATGAGATGTACGCGCTTGAGCATCTAAATGAAGATGAAGCGCTTCACCTATTTTCTCTGAAAGCCTTCAAAAGAAACTCTCCACTGGCAAGTTACGAAGAGATGTCAAGAAAGGTGATAAGTTATGCTCAAGGTGTGCCACTCGCTCTTAAAGTTCTGGGCTGCCATTTGTGCTCTAAGAGTGAATCAATATGGAGAAGTGCATTGAACAGATTGAAAGTAGCTCCTCATGACCAGAAAATTCATGATGTGTTAAAAATAAGTTACGATGGACTACGTGATATAGAAAAGGAGATATTTCTAGATATTGCGTGTTTCTTCAAGCGTGAAAGAATAGATGTTGTACAAGAAATGCTGGACGACTTTGGTGTTTTTGAGGATGTCATTACAGTTCTCATTGATAACTGTCTCATAACTATCACATGGCATGGTGGCCTTATAGAAATGCATGATATGATACAAGAAATGGCTTGGAAAATTGTCAGCAAAGACTGCAAAGAGCTACCTGCAGAAAGGCGCGAGAGACTGTTAGATGCAGACGATATCATCCATGTCTTGAACGATCATACAGTACGTTTAATAAACTCTCTCTAAAATGCCTCAAAATGGAAAGTTTTCGATTATTTGTGTGTATTATCAAAATTATTTTGCTACTTGAGAAGGAAAGATAAGTCAGCAAAAATGAATAAATGTATTTATAATTGAACCGTGCAAATACTACGTGCCTAGTTTAATTTTGTTCTTGCAAATACTAAATTCGAAAAAATACACAGGACTCCAATGAATTCTCTGTTATTTTTGATACTTTGTTCTCAATTTTCAGGGTCCTACAAAAGTTAAAGGAATTCTCTTAAATATGTCGAGGCTTACGCAGGATGTAAACTTGAAACCTGAAGCCTTCAAAGAACTGCACTACCTAAGATTCCTTAAAATTATGCATAATCGTGAAGACGAAGAACGTTGTAAACTGCACTTTCCTCAAGGAATTAATATTCTCCCAAGGACACTCAGGTATCTCAGCTGGGTTGGATTCCCTTCTTTATCTCTACCATCGAGTTTTATGGCACGGAATCTTGTCAAACTTCACATGCCGTGGAGCCAGCTTGAGCAACTTTGGAATGGATCCCCGGTACATGTACATATGTTGTAATAACATCCTGTTTTTTATATATAAATTGCAAGGGCATACTAATTTAACGCTGGTCGATCATTTCTCTTTTTGTTACAGGATCTTGTGAGCTTAAAATATGTCACTCTTAGGCACTCAAAGAAACTAGTCAGTATCCCAGATCTCTCTCAGGCTAATCTTAAGATTTTAGATCTTAGTGGTTGTACAAGCTTAGTTGAAATTCCTTCACTCAGATTTCAACGAGCCTCTGACAATCTTGAAACTAATCTCAAAAATCTTCGGATGAGATCTTATTTTGGAAATGGATCTCCTTTTGACAATTATGATAAGGATCTTGATGACTATACTCTTGATCTTAGCGACTGCATCAATCTCAAAACTCTGTCACGGATGTCTGGGGGCATACGACACCTAAACTTAGGTTCCACGGCAGTAGAAGAGTTGGATTGCTCAAATTGGTCACTCGAGAATCTCGTCTCGTTGGATCTGAATGAGTGTAAATGTCTCAAGAGTCTTCCCAGCAACATATGTAAGTTTGATTCTTTGGAAAAGCTAAATTTACGCGATTGCGTATCATTTAACAAGTTTCCAACCGTCCTTCCAAAGAATATAAAGACATTAGATTTGAATGAAACAGCAATACAAGAAGTGCCTTCATCAGTATCCTTTGAGTGCCTCTCTAGTCTGGACCGACTATCTATGGCAGACTGCACAAGGCTTGAAACCCTCCCAACCGAAATTTTTAAGCTCAAGTCTCTCTCGTCGCTTGATTTATCTGGTTGCTCGGAATTGAAAAGCTTCCCAGAAATCTTGGAGCCTCATGAAAGACTATCGATCATTAAATTAGATGGATCAGGGATCAAAGAACTACCCTTGTCTATTGAAAATCTACAAAGGCTTTTTTCTCTAAGCTTGAAAAACTGCGAAAATCTTGAGTCTGTTCCAGATAGCATCTGCAATATCAATGGTCTTAGACTCCTGGACCTATCTAAATGCCCAAAACTTCAAACTTTGCCCGCTGTGACATGGGCTAGTTTTTTCCCTGAGATTACATTAGATATAAGTTACAAAATTATAACCAAAATTCTAGAGTGGTTGTGCTACGGTTCATCCTCGTTACCAGTGCTAGATCCAAGCGAACCTATCAGTGAAAGAATAACCGTGTGCATTCGGAGATTTTTTAATTCGATTTACTTTGAGGCATGTGGATATGCGACTTGTCAATCTAGACCTCGATGCAAGTTCTTTTCACGTTCCAAAATTGGTCAATATGCTTTTTGTCCATATTGCAATGAATTTTGTAGACCCGAGGATATGGCAGTTGTGATGTCTAAATTCCAGCCTTACTTTCTGCAAGCAGCAACTGAATTTCCTTCAAAACCTGAAGAACAAGACGAGGTATGTCTCTTTCTTGTATTGCTTATCACATCCTTTGAATAGGGGCTATTCATAGTGGAAAAAGTCATAACTTTTCTTGTGCTACAGGGAACGAAATGTCCAGGAATCGGTTTTTGTCATCGAGGAAGTAAAATTCCGAAGTGGTTCGATCATCAGTCTGACCGATCTTCGATAGATCTTTCATTTTCTCGAGATTGGTATAATACCAGCTTCTTAGGATTTGCTGTATGCATTCATGTTGAATTTCAGTCCTTTTATGAGTGCGACTTGAATTTCACATGTGAATACCATTTTAAAACAAACCGTGGTGATAGTACTTTCCAGAAATCAAGGGTTGTTCATTCGATCAGAAAAATCAGCTTTTGCCTATCAGACCACATTTTCGCATGGTATCTTCTCTACAAGAACTACCATGACTATCACGAGGCAATAGAGGCTTCATTTCAGTTTTTTGTTGAACGACTAGATTCGGATACACGTTTATCGCCTATAATAAAAAATTGTGGGATCCGCATCTTGTATCGTCAAGATATTGGGATCCTACAATCAAGTTGCAGAAGGGGAACTAGATATTGTTGACAACATCAACTGCGATACCGACGAACCACATCCTAAGGTAATTTGTATACTTCTCTAATCTTATAACACCATTGAATGATCGCAATGTTAAAGTTGTTTTATCAGTAATCACTTGAAAATTGATATCTCTATAACCTCTATTACATCATTCAAATTAAAACATAATGATAACCTTTGAAAAAACATGCAGACTTGATTTAATCTACACACTTTGAATAATTTACCTGTTGGCTCTATCGAAATTTTTGTGCGCATACTTTCGTTAAAGAAAAAATTATGTTTAATTTTTCTTTTGTTGATAGAATAATAGATTTTGTGAAAACCACATACGCTATAACTAGGAACCTTCTCTATGGAAAGATAGAATTCTACGAATGATGACAAAAATATCTTTGCTTGAGTTTCATGCTTGAAGTAGCACTTAAAAACACAGTTCTTTTTCAGGGGCGGAAGCTTCAATTGAACTGAGCAGTCCTTTATGGCACACAACTCTACTTGGAAGGGCAAGGTTGCATCTCACTTAAAACGCTACTTGTAGTGGCTGTAGAAGTAAGTTGGTGGTTGACAATTTGGATCCGAAATGGAGACCAGCGAAAAGGCCGATATTGTAGGTTTGTGTTTAGTAGCTTGTAAATTTGTAAATTCCTATGATACATGCTTCTCAAGTGGCAATAACACGTGAAAATTTAGTTAGTGGCATAATTACTATATGAGTCGCAACAGTAATTACTATGAGTAATTATCATAATGACGGCTTAATATTACTATTTTTTTAACATAATAATCCTCACGTTTTGTTTTAGTAACTTGTAAAATTGTAAAATCCTATCAGACATGCTTCTCAACTGGTAATAACTCGTGAAAATTTAAATTTAACTTTTTATACTATAATATTTACTCTTGCATAAAGTCACATCTGGACTGAAATTGAAAACTTAAATTAGAGAAACGAACGAGACCTTTAATTAATATCACAATTACTACACGAGTCATAATGATAATTACCATTTGTTCCACTTGAGTATTTGTTCAATTAGTAATTATCATAATTATTATATTTATGAATTAAGGTATTAGTGTTTCTCAATTTATTATCTTAATTACTTTATGAGTCACAATGACAATTACTACTGAAAAATTATTTAAAATAATTGAAAAAGAATTCTATTACAAATAGTATACACTACAACAAATATGCCCATTTGCGACGACATTTTTTGCGACGACAATTGTCGTCGCAAAAAATAAACAATTTACGACGACATATCGTCGCAAATAACCATGCCCTAATATACTCTCCTTCTTCTTCTTCATTTTCTCCCGACTCTCTCTCTCTCTCTTTATCCTGCAAAATCTCTCTCTCTCTCCTGCAATATCTCTCGCCGCCTCCTCTTTCCGTCGCTGTCACCGCCGCCGCTGCTCCCGCTGCCGGCCTTCCTTCTCCTTGTTCCCTTC